TACAAGACGCTCTGAGTCGGAGCATTTCAATTAATTTAAACCGTAAATGAATGTTGGTCGCGTTAATATAGAACTATTACTTTGTGTCGTGTTTATGTTTAACGGGATGTTCCTGTTTTTAATTTAACAGGGTCATTCATGCTAAATTATACCAGATGAGTGTACGAGATTACTAACGCCATACTCAAGTGCAATCAGTCCCGACACAAACGAGAGCAGCAGTTGCGGGTTTGAATTTGAACGCGAATCCTATTGAAGCGGGTTTTATTTGCACTGATACATGACGAAGATTCATACGGAGATCCTTCATATGTAAGCGAACGGTTTTTCCGGTTGTATGTACAATATATACATTTGTGTCTGCACAAGTCTTCTGCACATTTAGAGGAGACATGCTGCACTTTATCCAAGTGTGTTTTTAATTTGTGTGAAGTTGGAGACCAGGTGAACTTGTGCTTAATACACAAAGGGCTCAGCATTGCTGTCTTAATTAGCACGGACTACTAGACGCTCTGAGTCGGAGCATTTCAATTAATTTAAACCGTAAATGAATATGGAGAATTATTACTTTGTGTCGTGTTTATGTATAACGGAATGTTCCTGTTTATACTTCTAAAAAGGGCATTTATGTTAATGTTGGTCACGTTAATATAGAACTATTACTTTGTGTCGTGTTTGTGTATAATGGGATGTTCCTGTTTTTAATTTAAGAGAGTCATTCCTGCTAAATTATACCAGATGAGTGTACGAGACGACTGCGTTTGATTTTGAAGGCGAATCCTATTAAAGGACTTTTATTTGCATTGATAAATGATGAAGATTCATACGGAGATCCTTCATATGTAAGCGAACGTTTAATTTCGGTTGTATGTATAATTTATACATTTGTGTCTGCACAAGTCTTCTGCACTGTTAGGGGGTGACATGTTGCACTTTATCCCAGTTTGTTTTTAATGTGTGTAACGTCTCTATTTGAGGCTGCGAGTTAGTTACGGTATGTCCAACAGTGGACAAAGGCGAGGACCACATCTTCCTCACCGCGGAGTCAGTCAATAGTGACTAAAAGCACCAGCTAATGTCCAGAAACGTTTGTATTTTTTTTTTTACACGGATCAGAAAATAAGGTACTGGTACGTGGTTTCATCTCCAGGTAAGAAAACGTGATTTTTGCCGCTCACAAAACGTTCCGCTTTGGCGATTAATGCAGCAGATCTGTTTCACTTCATGTCGGGTAAAGACCCACCCGATTGGTCCAGAGAGGAGCCAAGGGAATCTTCCGATTGGTTCACAGGATGGTACCCAAGACGCACCCGATTGGTCCAGAGGTCAGCCAAGGGAATCTCCTGATTGGTCCAGAGGGCAGCTCTGGGAGGGCTCTGTCTGAAAGTGCGCTGGGCAGTAGTAGCGGGCGCTTAAGGAGAGTTCAGGATGTCCGAGGTCTGTTCGCCTCCAGGTCTTCAGACCTCAGACTTTCCTCCGAGCAGACCTCTGAATGAGGTGAAGAAGGGGTAAGAGAGCCTGTGGACAACACGCCTGTGTCTTTCCAGGACGGGTCACCAGAACAGCAGCTCTGGACCGGAGCAGTCGGGACTCAGTGGAGCACAGGCTGCCTTCAGTCATGTTTATTGACAGGAGAGGGCGCCCCCAGACCTGCAGTTAGAAGTCAAGAGGGTGTTTTCAACCAGTCAGCACAGGTGGGGGACAGGGTACCCCATCAACACTGAAGGGCACAAGGCGCCAGGCAGGTGAGTGCAGACCAGGTGAGTCTCTCCTTCACTGGCTGTCCCTCGCAGGCGACGCTGGTCTTACATGATCGGGGCTGATCGGACCAATCTGGGATCCACAGACTCCGAGGGGACAGAGTAGGAGTCGTCTCGGGGAGACATCCAGGGTGTCCCGATCTCCTGCCTGCTGGAGCCTGTGAGGATGACCATGATGATGATGATGATGATGAAGAGCTGCAGGTGACCCTGATTCAGGCTGCTCTTTAGAGACAAGCTCCAGGCGGCGAGCCAGTGGACTCCTCCTATCAGGGCTCCAGGGGGTGACCCTCAGGGCTGTGTCCTGACCTCCTGCTGTCTCTCGCCCCAAAAGACCTGGTCAGCGTGCTGTTGACACTACACTGTCATACCCGAGTCCAACACCAGCCTCCAGCATGAGCACAGGGTCAGGTTAGTCCTGTCACTCCTGTGTCACACTCAGGGCATGAACACACAACCCTGCTGGTGAGAGAGGAGAACTGTTATAGGGTTACTAGCGTTGATATTAAAGCCTGGTGAAGTATTATTGTTTAATTAACAGTAATGCTGTAAATAGTAATACAAGTGAACACTGGGCTCAATACAGATGACGAGGCACAGAGAGACTGCAGAGCCAGACTGCTGGTCTCAGACGCACGAACCAGCTGTCACAGCTGTGCAGCCTACAGCAGCGTGTCCTGCTCTCTGGTCAGGGGTCGAAGGTCAAGATGGACTCCAATGCACCAGCGTTCCAGAGGCAGCCAGTGGGGAGACCAGTGTGGATGGAGGTTGATGCTCTGTCCTGTGTTCATTTCTGTAGTTTTCCAGAATGTCCAGAGGCAGACAGTGGGAAGACGGGTATGGAGGTGGGGTGCTCTCTCCTGTCCCTCTTTTCCCTAATTTTCCAGCATGTCCAGAGATTGCCAGTGGGAAGACAAGTATGGATGAAGATTGATCCCTCTCCTATGTGTTTTTCCCTAATTTTCCAGGCCGTCCGGGACGCTGCCAGTTATGCTGGAATAGTGGTTGGATCCTCTTTTCCATTTTCCATCAATTCCGGAGGCTGAAATTGGAAAGACCGGCATGGATGAAGATTGAACCCTCTCCTGTCTCCTTTGGATGCTCTCCTGTTATTTTTACCCTGATTTTCCAGGATGTCCAAAATAACTGACAGTGGGAAGGTGGGTATGGTTGAGGAGTTGGAACGGAGGTGGGGTGAAGATTGAACCCTTCTGTGTTCTTTTCCCTATTTTTCCAGGTTGTCCAGAGGCTGACAGTGGAGAGACGGGTATGGATGAGGTGTTGGGATTGACGTTGAACTCCCTCTCCTGTGTTTTCCAGGCTGCAAAGACGCTGCCAGTGGGAAGAGAGGTAGGCTTTGGAGTTGGGGTAGAGGTTGGATACTTTCCCTAATTTTCCTGGATGTCCAAAAAATTGAAAGTGTGAAGATGTGCTTGGAAGGGCAGTTGGAATAGATGTGGGATGCTCTCTCCTCTTTTCTCTAATTTTCCAGGCTGCCAGTGGGAAGACAGCTTGGGAGTTTGAATAGTGATTGGATGCTCTCTCCTATAATCTTTTCCCTGATTTTCTAGGATGTCCATAAAATTGACAGTGGGAAGATGGGTATGGATGAGGAGTTGGGATTGACGTTGAACTCCCTCTCCTGTGTTTCCCAGGCTGCCCAGATGCTGCCAGTGGGAAGAGAGGTAGGGTTGGGATAGAGCTTGGATACTCTCTCCTGTAATCTTTTCCCTAATTTTCCAGGATGTCCAGAGGCAGACAGTGGGAAGTCGAGTATAGATGTGGTGTTGGGATTGATGCTAAACTCTCTTTCTATGTTCCAGGCTGTAGAGAGGCTGCCAGTGGGGAAAATGTGTATAGTTGGGGATAGAGGTTAGATGCTCTCTCCTGTGATCTTTTCCCTAATTTTCTAGGATGTCCAAAAAATTGACAGTGGGAAGACGTGTGCGTTTGAAGATTGATCCCTCTCCTGTATTCTTTTCCCTAATTTTCCAGGCTGGCTAGGGGCAGATAGTGGAAAGACTGGTATGGCTGGGAGTTGGGTGGGTGAGAAGCTCTTTCCTGTCTTTTTCTTCCTCCTTGTTGGTCTCTGTGACATCTCTGTGTGTCTTTCTCTCAGTCCAGCTGCTTGTGCTCTGTAAAACACTACACTTCTGCAGTATTAAACAGGGCTTCTTGACTGTGGATTGCAGGTTTGATTCCAGAGGGGGACACAGTCATGTACCCCAGAGTGAGATACTTTGCTCAGATAGACTGTTCTGAGATCGTGGTAATCAGTGGCTGTACTGTAGGGCGTGGAGTGTTGACAATGGTGTACTAAATACTCTAGACCTTAATAACAGTGGTGTACTCGGTTCTCTAGAGTATTGTACCTTAATACACTGGGGCTTTCTACGTCTGCTTAATAGGACCCGAGAACAATCTCTCACTTTCTCTGTCACTCGCCACACATAAATGAGGATGTTAATACACTGACACATCTGTGTGCTGAACTTTCACCTGCTGTGTACTTGAATGCTCAAACCTGTTACTATTTTAACCCTCAACTGTACTATTATAGTACTCAGCCCTGTGTGATGAGCTGTTGTAATACTCGGATATGTGAACTTGTATGTCTGACTGGTACTAGTTGACAATGCTCAGACTTGCGTACTTAACTCTCACCAGCACTGAGCTTTAATACTTAATGACGCATCTCTGTACTGAACTCTCACCTTTACTGTGCTTTAATACTCAAACCTCTGTTCTCGTCTCTCATCTGGACCGCACTAAAATACCTAAACCACTGTGCTGATCCCTAACTTGTAAGTGAGCTTTAATATTCAGTGACACACCAGTATGCTGAACTTTAACCTGCAGTGTTCTTTAAATCTCACGTGTGCTACATTCTTACCTTGACTGAGTTTTAGTACTTGATGACACCTGTGTGCTTTATTCTTTCACTTGTTTTAATTTTTGTTAATTCTCTATTCTGTGTTGTCAGCTCTGGACTAAAAAACTTAAGGCAGCACTTTTTCCTGTGTTTTTAATACTGAAATCTGTGCTCTGAGCTCTCATCTTCACTGAGCTGTAATGTGTGGTAATACTTAAACCTGTAAACGTAACTCTTACATTTACTGTGCTTTAATCTGTGTCATCAGGTCTCACCTGGACTGTACTGAAATACTTAAACCAGGGAGGTGAGCTTGTACTGAGCATGAATATTCAGTGATGCTGAGCCTTCATCTGTAGTGTACTTCAATACTCATCTGTGTGCTACACTCTTACCTCTACTGAGTTTTAATCAATGTCACACCTGTGCTGTACTATAAGAGTTAACCCACTGTGCTGATCCCTAACTTGTAAGTGAGCTTTAATACTCAGTGACGCGCATGCTAAACCTTCACGAACAGTGTATTTTAATATTCAAATGTGTGTCAACTGTACTATTAGAATACTCAGCCTTGTGTGATGAACTGTAACCTGTTTTGTTTGTAATATTCCAGATATTTGAACTCGCGTGGCTAACGGGTACTCTTTTGTAGTGATCAGACTTATGTACTGAACTCTCGTCAATACTGAGCTTTAATACTTCAGCACACTGGTTTAACTCACTTGTATGGATCTGTAATATTCAGTGATGTGTATGCTAAACCTTCATCTAGTCTACTTTCATACTCGAATCTGCATGCTACACTCTTACCTTGACTGAGTTTCAGTACTCAATGACACACCTGTGTGCTTTACTCACCTTAAAAAAAAATAAAAAAAAATTGCTTCTCAAGTCTGTGTTCAGCTCTCACTTGGACTGTACTAAAATACTTAAACTGTCACCTCTATTCTAGTGTAATACTCAACCCCGTGTACTGTGCTGTTATGTTAAGTGTTACAGCAATCTAGGTATTAACCAGACTTCTGTATTGTATAGTGATGTAAACTGTTACTTGTATTGTTAGAATACCCAGCTCTGTGCGTTGTACAACAGTGTAATAAACACAGCAGTGTGCCAAACTGTCACCTGTAATCTACTGTAATACTCAGCCCTGTGTACTGTGAGGTGAACTGTCACCTGTATTGTAATAACCAGCCATGTGTATTGTACT